CTTCCTCCTCTTCCCCCCGTGGCTCCTCCTCTTCCCCCGTGGCTTCCTCCTCTTCCCCCGTGGCTTCCTCCTCTTCCCCCGTGGCTTCCTCCTCCCCCGGGGCTTCTGTTAATGATGGATTGTAGTTTGCCTGACAGTGGTAAGGAATACAGTACAAAACATCTGTGGTATTTTAGTAATAAAATATATATATATGCCACATAACTAGCTGCCGAGGGTGTGCGCGAAGCGAGGGCTGACGCCGAGCCGCTCCCATTGTATAGGTTCTAATTAACATCTTTATTGACACAATTACAATTTTGCCTAATCTGAGGATTTCAATTAAGTCTTATTAAAGTGAGGATAATGCTGGTATTCACTGTCACGCAGGACAGAGGGTCATACACAAGACAATAGGTCTAAACTGTAGGCTGAAGCACATATATATCATGGTTACAATCAATGTTTTAATGTATGAATATGTAAAATCAACTTTCTATTGTGCACTGCCACACAAGGGCGGGGATGTGCACTGCCACACAAGGGCGGGGATGTGCACTGCCACACAAGGGCGGGGATGTGTGCACTGCCACACAAGGGCGGGGATGTGCACTGCCACACAAGGGCGGGATGTGCACTGCCACACAAGGGCGGGGATGTGCACTGCCACACAAGGGCGGGGATGTGCACTGCCACACAAGGGCGGGGATGTGCACTGCCACACAAGGGCGGGGATGTGCACTGCCACACAAGGGCGGGGATGTGCACTGCCACACAAGGGCGGGGATGTGCACTGCCACACAAGGGCGGGGATGTGCACTGCCACACAAGGGCGGGGATGTGCACTGCCACACAAGGGCGGGGATGTGCACTGCCACACAAGGGCGGGATGTGCACTGCCACACAAGGGCGGGGATGGTCCATAAGTGATGCAGCTTAGAAGTAATATAAACAAAAATTGTTCTTCATTCTTTAAAATGGAGAAGCAAATGTTGGATAACTTGTTAGGATGTCGTCCAGAACACCTGAGTCAATGAAATAGTTACACAGTTGGTGGTACAAGAGGCCAGGAGGTCTAAAGTTCTTTACGGTTTCCATTCAACAATATAGTGTTTAGTGAGTGCATTAAAGGTTTATCACAGAGTTTACAATCTGAGTATTCTGGTAGTGGCTCAGCCTCACTAACCTGCCAGATGTGTCTATAGCCAAGGCGAATTACCGCAATGACTACATCACATTGCCTGTTCCGGTTACTGTGCTGACCATTCAAATACCTTTTATTACAAAACTTGTCATAACTTTTAATACTGCAGCTTTCAGGTCTCTGGGCATTTCTTAGTTCTTCAAAATCTTAATTAAGTTCTTTAGTTTGTATGTTTTCTAATAACTGAATTAGATAGTCCAAAGTCATAATCAGTGTTTTCTCTCCCCTGCAAGCCTCGTTGGCCATCGATCTACAAAGTCATGTTGTCCAACTCCAACATGGGATGGGATCCACACAAATTTATACAAGAGTTATTATCATTGGCAAAACTTCCATTCCATTTAATATTACAAGCTACTTCAGACGTAAGTTGTGATGGGTTATTTAAGGACTGCAGAGCACTTTTAGAGTCACAAAATATCACTTCACCACCATTGAGTTAAAGGTATTCAGTGGTTAGATAAATACCCAATAGCTCAGTTTGTGTCGTGCTTGCCCAGTTGTTCAGTCTCTGTGTACTAGACATCATCATTTCATTCCCTTTATATACTGCACATGCACAACCTGTTCTACCAGTGCCTAAATGCACAGAGCCATCAGTAAAGGCATAGGATTCAGTTGGCTTGAGATTTTGAAGATGACTGTCATTAGCTTCTAATGTTATACATCTCATAGTTTCAGTGTTATACATTTGTTTTACACTGATGGGAGTATAATGCAAAAAGACCTGCACATCTTTCCAAGGGGGAATATAGTGAACAGTTTTATCAGGATTAAGAGACACATTCAGTTTCTGAAGATTATAGGCACAACAACTGAGCCACACACTGTAAGGAGCTTTTTGCGTCGGATTGAGAGAACAGTCAGAATTGTTTAGAATGGATCTCAATTTAAATTTGAATAGAGCTGGGGGACCAATAATTTTCAAACTTTTGGCGCAAAACATAGTACTAAGTAGAACTATTCTTTCGTAAATGAAAGGCAAGTTTAGTTCCTTTCTCATGTTAACAATTCTGACAGTTCTAGGACAACCCAGGATGATGCCCATGGCATCATTCTGTACTACATCATACTGAATTCACGTATCTCTTCGCACTCCATCACATAGTGACGGAGGGTGTGCGAATAATTTTGTTGGCACAGTTTACATTTGGTCAGGTCTACATCGGCAGATAATGAGAATTCCAGAGATACTTGTAACCGAGTCTAAGCCAAGCAGTAGTAACATCTAGAAGTCTGCTGATTTTATTGGATGAACCATAAGAGTGTGGCTCCTCTTGCGTGACAGTATGATGATAGATGGAATTACTGGTGTCGATTTCACTTTGCCTCAGATCTACAAGTTCTTGTTGAAGTTCTCGGTGTACTGCTGCTCTCAGATTGCTCATTGACAATCCAAGGTTACACTCAACGGCTCCTTTAAAGGCAGATTCTTTGGCTAACTTACCAGCTCTATCATGCATTCGGAGGCCAACATGAGATGGAGACCACATGAAATGGACTCTGTTACCATCCTTAATAATTTTGTTGTATTCGGACACGAGCATGTTACAGTTAGGTCATAAAGAATTGAGAGCATGATTTAAGGATGATAAAGAGTCACTTACAATTAATGTATCAAGTTTAGAGACTTGTACACATTTCAGTGCAAGGATCAAGGCAAATAGTTCGGTCTGAAGGGTAGAGGCCCAGTTGTTTATACGGACTCCCCACTCAAAATATAAGCCATCGCCCATTGTCAGGACAACTGCACTTCCAGCTGCACCCGTGGGGCGGTGTAGGGAACCATCAGTGTATATGATTTGAGAGAGAGAATGCTCTGTGGAGAGAGCATCAATATGGCTTAAGGCGTTGAACTTCGCCTCAAGACGAAGCTTGGGCTGATCTCTAATTTGCTTCTTGGGTGGAAATGGAGGGATTAAAATTGGAAAGGGTGTAATCTCGCACGGTGCAGGAAAGTGCCGTTGTTGTTTATCTTGGTACAAATTATAAACCTGATACATTTTGAGTTGAGTTCCTTGAAGAAGATGCTGGGAATACTGATGTTTGATGATGTAACGTTAAGGGGAGCATAACCAAGCAAATTTACACAGTAGAATAATAACATATTGGAGTGAACGATATGAAAGGAAATACAGAATAGATCCAGTGACGATTAGAGATGCCATAGGCACAACTAGGGAACACTTTATGAACATGAGAGGTCCGCTGTTGTTCAGTACCCTCCCAGCAGGTATAAGAAAGATTGCCAGAACTAAAATGGAAGTCTTCAAGAAAAACTGAACAGTTTTCTACAAGAAGTGGCCGGCTGTAGTGGATGTGTGGTCCTGCGGACCGCTCCAAGCAACAGCCTGTTGGACCAAGCTCTTGGGAGTAGACTCCCAGAATCCCATCCAGATACCATCTACATCTAGCTGCACGAAGACACTGTACTGAGGCCGGTCTAATGACAGCCGCTGTAGCCACGATTCATTTATTGTTTTGGGTTTTCGGTAATTGGTAACTGTGCTGCCAGATGTGACTGTGCCTTAGCTGTGTCAGATATGGTTGGGTGTATAGTATCATTACTGAGGGTGGGACCGGTAGCAGGTGAAGATGGCCGCTGATTGGTTCTTGCAGGTGCAGAATGGCGAGGTCATTGTCAGAAATATGCCGTCGTTAGCCGGGAGTTGAGAGAAAACGTTGTGAATGATCAGTCTCCCTCCCCACCCCCCCACCCCCCTCCTTCCTTCCTCGCCCTCTTGCCACCGCCAGGGTTTCTCTTTTCTGTGTGATGGCTGGGCGCGGCACAGGGAGGGAGGGAGGGAAGAGAGGAAGGGAGAGAGAGGGAAAGGAAGGGATGGGAGGGAGGGGGAGAAACTAGGCCCCGCCCCCTGTGATAACGGCACCCTGGCAGTGTGAGGAGAGAGCGAGGGCGCCAGTGTGTGGTGAGATGTGGTAGAGAGTAGTGTGGCGCCGCTCTATCCAGCAGCCCTCGCAGCTTCCTGTTGATGGCCAGGTGGTGCCCCAGCAGGAGAAAGGTGCCCCACGCTGCTCTCCACTAACGACACCTGGGCTCGTACTCCAGCCAGGGTGTAGAGGCGTGCCGAGTGAGGGCGAGCTGTGCGGCGTCTGCCCCTCACTCACCAGGCAAGAGGGCGCCCGACCTTCCTCTGCTAGTGCCATACGCACCATCTTTACCATGGCTACACGGAGCTGCTAACCCTGTGTTACCCAGACACGGTGGTGCACGTGGGCTTCCAGGCAGTGGTAACACTGTGTGGGAGGGGCTGTGTGTGGGCGGGCTGGCGTGGGCGAAGCTCACCCCACCATAACCTCCGGTGGTGCTGCTGCTGCTGCTGCTGCTGCCCTCTGCACAAGCAACATCATCGTCAGTGTGTGTGTGTGATGAGTGGTGGTGTTGCCTGCTGGCGCTCCTCACTTGAACAAGATCGTTGTTGATGTTAACAAGAGTGTAGGAGGATGGTGGTGTAGGGAGGCGTCAGGTCACTACACCCAACACAGCGTGGCGGGTGTTGTGGGGGGAACTTGTTAAGGCTGGTAGTGACATGTGAAGCGAGGAGTGTGACCATGGCGCCACCCCGTGACACACTTCCCACAGCCTTCCTCGCTCCTACAACAGTCACCTTGAGTCACTGCTGCCGCTTTCATTGGTGAGCGGGATAAGTGCCTCTAGTTCAAGAGGGTGTACAGTGCCTTAGTTACCTGGGTGTCCGCCCTCCCGGGGCACTCCCACCACGCCTGCCTCAGTGGCCACACTATCACCACCCGGACTGTCTCAGTGGACACCACTACCACCTACACTGCCTCAGCGAACCCATCACCTGGACTGTCTCAGTGGACACCACTACCACCTACACTGCCTCAGCGAACCCATCACCCGGACTGTCTCAGTGGACACCACTACCACCTACACTGCCTCAGCGAACCCATCACCTGGACTGTCTCAGTGGACACCACTACCACCTACACTGCCTCAGCGAACCCATCACCCGGACTGTCTCAGTGGACACCACTACCACCTACACTGCCTCAGCGAACCCATCACCCGGACTGTCTCAGTGGACACCACTACCACCTACACTGCATCAGCGAACCCATCACCTGGACTGTCTCAGTGGGCACCAGCAGGCGACAGTGGAGCGAGGGCGAGCCTTGCGTATAGTGTGGGAAGCTGTAAGGTGAGCTTGTCCGAGGAGGCAAGTAACATGTGGATGGGTTGAGGGAGAGGCGGGGAGCGTATATGGTGGTGAGGAGAGAGGGAGAGAGAGAGAGAGAGGAAGGGGAGGCAGGCGGTGTTGAGTGCCGGGAAGAAGAGTGAGGGGCAGCTGCCTCTCCCCCTCCACCAACGGACGGTGGAACCTTAAACAGTCTCTCCCTGGGACGGTCACTCCAACACTCTGGGGCTCCCTACAACACCCCGCACCCTTCCCCAACACTCGCAGCAACACTCTACAACTTAACACTCACCTTGCAAGTGTTACCAATATACAACATTGTAGTGTTTACAGAAAGATCATATGATAACTTATAAAAATCTGCCTTAAAATTATTGAACCCAACAAGTGCTTAGTGAGAAGATATAGACGTTGAATACTTAATGTGTAAATTACTGATAAATAAACGGAAATAAGGTGTTGAAGAGGAAAGTGTTAAGGTTTAGTGAGCGTAGGGTGCAGCAGTGGTCTAGGAGGCCGCTAGGGTGCAGCAGTGGTCTAGGAGGCCGCTAGGGTGCAGCAGTGGTCTAGGAGGCCGCTAGGGTGTATACGGTGATGTCACACTTCCCCGTCCTCACAATACCTTTGATAGCGACTAATTAGCATTAAGATGATGTGCGGTAACGACTAAAGAGAAGACCTGATTGTGTGGTTCACCGCAGTCTGAAGTGGAGGAAATAGTTATGGAAGGTGCAAGTGGGTGATGGAGGAAGGTGAAGGAGTGTGTGTGTGAGGGAGGGCGTTGCTGCCTCTCACCCTCCTGCAGTATACCTGGAGTATACCTCCAGCGACACACGTCATCTCTACTAGTTACTGTACAGGTAAGTCACACTTTGATCTTGTATCTTACTCCGTCACACGGGTTAAACCCCCACCTTCCCCCCCCCAACTCAAAACCACTGACATCAGTTAAATAGTGTAGATCATAGTACATATTGTGGTTGGTACACCAGGTAGGGGCGGCCAAGCCTGCCCTCACTCTGAGCACCCACTGTCTCCTCATTTACACCATACACTTTACACTGGTGATTTACACGTACAATATTTGTGTAGCGCTTGGCTCGTTATCTGGTGTGTGGAGCGTGGCTTGGGAACACTATCAAGCCTACGACTTAAGTCTTGTATTGATCAAGGCAAGACTAAGCCTTCTCGTGGTGGACTGGTGTTTCCGAGTAGTGTTGGCGAGTGTTGAGGCTGGTGGTGTTGTGTGTGGTCTCTTGCGTGTGTGTCAGAACGAGGGCCACGAGCCGTCAAGCAATTACGGAGCCACTTGCGAAACCTCTACATCTTTCCTTAATCATTGCGGCTTTGTTTACGGTTATTAAACAGTTTACGAGCTTCTAAACTAAACAACGCAAGGTTGTTATTATAAACAACCTCGTTGTGCTGAGGGAGGATGATGGAAGATGTAGGAAGATGTCTGGTATAGTGTATGTAAGATTGTGACCGTGGGGGGGGGGTGGGGGGGGGCAGGAGATAATTGGGATTAAGAGAAATCTCTTAATCTGGGAATTAAGAGAAAGATTGAAACCTAATTAAAATAGGGGATGGCGAGGCGGAGGTTGAACAGCTGGCGGGAGACGGTTGACAGGAAAACCTTGAGGTGAAGTCATGTAGACGGAAAAGGAGCCAGTACACAACAGAAGGGGGGGGGAGATAGGCAGCAGACAGAGAGGAAGAGGAGCCAGCAGACAAGAGAAGGGGTAAACTGCAGACTGAGAAAAAATAGGAAATAGACCAGCAGACGGGCGAGGGACAGAGAGACTATTTAGCCGACAGGAGAGATGAGAAGAGACGGGTCACTAGATTATTAGAAAAGACAGGCCACCAGATTATTGGGTTTAAAGAGGTGGAGAGACAGGAGAAGGGTTGGTATAGACAGGTCAACAAACAGGAAGGGGGTCGTGTACCACAGTAAAAACTATGCAGACGGGGAGGTAGCGGAAGCCAGCAAACTGGTTTTTCTGTTAGTAAGTAAGTAGCGGGCGAGCAACGGGCACCAGGATCACTATTGTGGGTCACTATCACCCCTGTGCCCTACCACCTGGTCGCCACCTTCCCCTGCCCCACCTGGCCGCCACCACCCCCTTGCCACCACCCCCTGGCCGCCACCACCACCACCACCTGGCCGCCACCACCCCCTTGCCACCACCACCACCACCTGGCCGCCACCTCCCCCTGCCCCACCTGGCCGCCACCTCCCCCTTGCCACCACCACCACCACCACCTGGCCGCCACCACCACCTGCCCCACCTCTCCCTTGCCACCACCACCTGCCCCACCTCTCCCTTGCCACCACCACCTGCCCCACCTCTCCCTTGCCACCACCACCACCACCTGCCCCACCTCTCCCTTGCCACCACCACCACCACCTGGCCGCCACCACCACCTGGCCGCCACCACCACCTGGCCGCCACCACCACCAGCCCCACTCTCCCTTGCCACCACCACCACCCCACCTGGCCGCCACCACCACCTGGCCGCCACCACCCACCAGCCCCACCTCTCCCTTGCCACCACCACCACCACCACCTGGCCGCCACACCACCTGGCCGCCACCACCACCAGCCCCACCTCTCCCTTGCCACCACCACCACCACCTGCCCCACCTCTCCCTTGCCACCACCACCACCACCACCTCTCCCTTGCCGCCACCACCACCTGCCCCACCTCTCCCTTGCCACCACCACCTGGTCACCACCATCTGTCCCACCACCACCACCACCACCTGCCCTGCACAAGCAGTGCAGAAAGCCATACAAGCCGTGCATAATACCAGGAAAGCCAGGCATCAGAGAGCTCACTACCACAAAATAAAAGGTCAATCCAGCGTGTAGCGAGACTAGATCATCAGTTGCTCCTTCACCCTATCACAACTAACCATGGAACAACGTGAACCAATACACCTTGGGGGGGGGGGAGATACGAAGCAGCCCAATAGAGATGCGTATTGTTAAAGTTATGTACATAAAGGCAGATAGGATTACAAATAAAGTAGTAGAGTTGCAGGAAAGGGAAATAGAAGTGCAATCTCACACATTATTGCAATAAAAGAAACGAAACTGTCAAGTGTTAAAGGAAATGCTATCTTCCCATATGGATATAAAGTGATAAGAAAAGATAGGGTGAATAGGGGCAGGTGGTGTAGCCCTACTGCAATGTAACACTAGCTGTTGCCTCAATGGTAACTGCTGCCACCATTGTAACACCTCATTCCTATTGTGTAACCCTCTACCTGATACCACTGTAACACTGTAGGTTTACACACACACACACACTGGTGCTCTTAAGTATAATTTCCTTAGACCGTCTAACCCATATTTACAGTTGAGTGTAACTTTGTACTACAAATCTCACACTAAACCAATGGTACGTTAAAAGGAAATGCTTAATTCCAATTTAAAGGTGTGGGGGGGGGGGGAAGACCAAAGCTGCCACCACACCGTTCCATTTGTTACAACAGTAGTATTGATAATTACCAATTAGTGGGACGACAGTGGTTCATGGGGAAAACCAATGCGTCCTTTTGACTTTAATTAATAATGAGAGATTTCTTCTTTAGATGTAATCAATTACTGACAATTATGTTAAATAATTTGATACTGGAGAATTTGGGAGGGATCAATGCCCTTGATGGGGCACACGTGGGAGATGACAAGGGGGGGGGAGGCCAAGTGACACACAAAGATGACAAATTAACAA